AAACACTAAGTTTACCATAGAGTTAAGAAAGGAAATTAAATCGCCTTTTTTGGATGTATTAGTGAGCAAATAAGGTAATAATTTGGGTAAAGAGGTATATAGAAACCCACTCACGCGGGTTTTCGTATGAATTTATTTTCGAACCATACTTATAAAGTAGAAATAGTAGTTATGATGTCTATGATAATAAGGAGTCTGCGTCTAGTGGATGCAGACCATATTGATCAGGAGATGGGTAGATTGAGGGATATACTGTTTCAAGGCAATTACCCATTAGGATTAGTAGACAATTGTAAATAAATTGTAGTTAAGATGATTAAGGGAGTTTGCTATCAGAAACTGAACCATTCTACTCGTTTCCTGATTTTGCTTTTCTGTCAGCTTGCGAAAAAGTTGTGTGATCTACTGAGGAAATGAAGCATAAAAACAATGTATAAAGACAAATTCTTCGCTTATAGAATATTCATACCCTCTTTCTGGATCAGGCTGCTACAAAGTTTTGTGCTCATGTGATAAGGGATATGTGGGGGAGACCTGCCGACCAATGCACAAGAGACTATGTGAACACAAAACCGCTTGTGAAGGTCAGTGGGTCCAAAAATATGAGCTCGCTGAACACATTTTGGCAATACAGGACGCTCAATGGACTCGTGCAAAGCACAACGTTTTGCTGGTTGCTATGTGAATAGGAGGAACGAGTGTAGAAAAGGGATTTGCAACTTCTTGTGGCTGTTGGATAGACTTAAGGAAAGTGAGCACGAGAGGGTACAGGAAGAGCCATTGAGCAAGAGAGGAAGACTGGATTAGCTTCGTGTCAAGCTGGAGCTATCACATTTCACATGACATGATCATTGCATACACACAAAAGACAATACCACAAGCCCAAGCATGTATCAACATTTGAGGATCCTACACGATGTTGGGTGTATAAAAAAGCGACTAGCCTCGCAGCCGGCCACCTTCTTCTCTTGGTTTAGCATATATATTTTTGCTCTATTTCGTCAAGTATGAAATCCTTCTCTGGTGATGTCTGTCGCGGCGGTACAGACGAAAGGTTGGCACAGTTTCATCGGGGTCGTGGGATGGAGAGCCGAGGACTTGTCCGCACAATTCAACAGTCTTCGCTACGCAGCAATCGTGCTTTGGGTTCCGGTGAAAACCACTTCACCGATTCCTTCCAACCAACTTTTCCTTCGAAATGGAGAGTCATGCGGCAAGCTAATCCTTACAACCACATTTCAGCCATCGAATCAAGAAAACTCATTCGCTTATCACCACGCCCTGAATCGATGCATTCTGATGAGGCATACAGCGACCTGTGTCGTGCAAGTTGTACCTTAATCTATGATTTTGTGTGTGTCTTTCTGGTTTAATGTGCTCATGTGCATTTATGCGTACCAAATGAACTGAACAATGCATGTGCCCTCGGTCAGCAAGATTTAATTACCACCACTACCATCCCTTTTGCTGTTCTAACCATCACTCCGATTGCGTAGTATTAAACGCATGTCTGACGCCAACAAGAAGGTTCCGTTAAAGCTAATCAACAGTTGGCCAAGAGGAATCTGCTGCTTGTCGTCTCATGGTGTGATCAGTTGAAATGCAGCTTAACCAAGCAATTCTTCCAAAGCCAACCTCCTTTGCTCGTTTG